AAATTTTACTCTATTTTGTTTGAACACGGTATTAGAGTAAATTGGTAAATTTTGGTTTTTGATAAAATATACTCCCTCCGTCCTATAATGATCTTCCCAGAGCACTATTTCAACTTCACGGGAATTTATATTTATTTGTGTTTTTTCATGGCCTATATGATAAAATAAAATATTCTTGTCACCACTTGTTTTGTTGAACTTTTGGTGTAGTTTTTAAATATGTATGTTTTATTTTTTATTTCTATACCAATATTTAAATAAAATAGATTGAAAAAACTTGGGATTTTTCTTCGTTTTGCGAACCGGGAAGATCATTATAGGACGGAGGGAGTAATATTTTGATTGCATCTTGTTTTGTAATTCTTTTAATTTATATATATATATATATATATATATATATGTATGTATATGTATATGTATATATATATATACACACACACACTAATTAATAGATTAAATTATTTTAAGATAATTAGATTTTACATGTTTACCTCTAGCAGATGGGTTTATAACTTCATCAAGAAAAAAATAAGATGGGTTTATAACTTAAAAAAATTAATGTAAGTAAATTACAAATGATTAAGTAATATCACGACATTTTGACTGAGCACAGATTACATTATTCCCGACAAAATCTGGTGCTTGCACTTCTCATGGTTTGAATAGTCGTCCCTTGTTTCTAGGGGTTTGAGACTTGAGCTCCACTCGTTTCTTTCAAAAGAAAAACAATCCTCTTTTTTCTTGTATCCGGTCGAACGGTCACTAAAAAATGAAATGAATTAGATTAATGAAAAAATGTAAAATTTATATTGGATACTTGCATAAATTATATGCTTAGCATAATTGCATTTTAGTACAGTTAAGTTACGAGGAATTAAACTTGAGACTTATCGCACTGACGCTCCATGGTTTGCCAATTGCACTATGCCACTGGCTAGCTTGTTTGGAAATTTGGAACGTTATAGGGGCGATGGTGAGGTAAAAATGTAATGTCACATGTTGATATAGAGTATTTTAAAAATGTAGAGTAACATGTTCTACAATGACAAGTTATTTTTTACTCCGTATCATTTATTTTATTTATTTTTGATAAAATGAAAAAAGATAAATTGTACTCCGTACTAAGAAAAAAATGAGAACAAATTTATAAGTTAAATTTTTAAAAAATTTAAAAAATTGTGATAAATTGCAATAGTTTAATTTTTTTGATAAATTGTGTCTTCCTTTGACCACGAATTAAATATAAGGTAAAATAATTAAATATTATAAAAATTTGATATTTGAAAACTATATTTTAAAATAAATCTAATTGTACGAAATTTACATTATAACTAAATTTTTTCCCATAATTCTCGATTAAAATAGTGTCATAGTTTGACTAAAAACATCAAACAGTAATAATCTTTTAGAGATATAAAGAATAGATTTAGGAAACAAAAGGTTGTTCTGATGTGTTTCAATTGATTGAATTTTTTTACCATAGAATTTCATTTAAAAAACAATTAATGTGAAAGTAAACGACAATTTTTTGAGAAGCATGAGGTCCGGATGTGATGGGAAAGTAAACGGCAATAAGATGGTTGGTTGTAATTAATTGGTTTATTTGATCTATTTTTAGGTGATAATAATTGATGTGATAGTTAGAATCACAAAAAAAATAAGAAAAAAAATCGGGAACAATGAATGTAAATGACATTAAAAGAAAACATTTGTTCACCTTTTCACATGGCATTTCAAAATGATACAATTTGAGGTTTATAATTTCTTTTTTGTATGGGTGGAGCGTAGAATATTTAGTAGGTGTTTCTTTATACTTATAAGTTGGTTAAAATTCTTTATAAATAATTTTTAATTTGTAAGTCAGCGAATGAAGTATATTTGTGTGTTTACAAGCAGACTTATAAGTTGCTTATAAATAAAAAAAAGTTGGTATTGGCCCATGTTCTCATCACCTGATCGGATTGGTTCTGATCTGATTAAAATAAATTCTGATCTGATCCGGTCTGATCTGAGTGTAGTTATATTTAAGGCTATTTTTTGATTTGACCTATTCTGATCTAATCAGGTCTGTTATAATTTCAATAAGAATAAGTAATAAGTAGAAAAAGATTAGGGAGAACATGACCTTAGTTACTTATCTTTAAATTAGTTTTTTCGTTTTTCGATTTTGACCATATTATTTTTACAAAACTGTCCCTCAGCATTTATGAATATTTTCAAGTGACTTATCTACTTCATATCATTGAAGTCATTTTACTTTCAGGAAATAATAACTTATAAGTAGTTTATAAATTAAAAATTGTTTACCAACAAAAAGCCAATAAGCACAACACATATAAACACCCCTTAGTGGTTACTGGTTAGTATATCTACATAGTTCTGTACTCGATAAATGACATACTCGTAAAAAATACGCCACTATATCACCATATAAAAATGCCTTGTTATATAATTTACTACTCGAACAGTGAATCAATTAATAATATACTAATGGTATGGTCTTTACGACTTATGTTGCATTCCGTTCAACTTTTTTTTCTTTTTATGACTTATTTTTATTATGATCAGATTATATCATACTAGATCAGATCAGAAAAGATCATAAATAGTTTTACTTATAACAGTAATCATGTCAGATCAAATCTTCTAAAAATCACACCAGATCAGATGAATGGAACGATGCCTTAATTTTATTGAACAAAAAATGTTACTAAGTGTGAATTTTGATTTTCAATTTTACATTTCAGTTTTTTTTAATTATTATCATTTGATCAAATAAAATATTCTTGTCACCTTGTTTTGAATAAATTTTGATGTACGAGAAGTTTTTAAATACATAGTGTATAATTTTTGTTTTTATTTCACTATATCAATTTGTTAAAAAAATTATTTTAAAAGTTACGTGATTTTAAATGAGCTAATTCATTTTGGGTCAGAGGGAGCATAATTTATAAAATTTTTAAAAATGTATAGTTTATATTTATATTTTAAGTGAGTCTTTTTGACAAAAATGTTGTGTGAGGTTTCATATATACACATATACGTACAAAGGCGCACACACACACGCACATGCACACACGCGCGCGCACACACACACATATATATATATTTGTGGGTGTGGGTGTGAGAGTGCACTTTGTTCAGATATTGCAAATATATTATTTTCATTAATATTTATAAACCAATTGTTCAACTAAATTTATTTTTATATTTAAAATTGACCATGAAAATTCATACAGTAATATTTAGTAATATACAGTAATTTTTATAGTATTTTAATAAACTTATTTATGGTATTGAAATGTCTCTAATAATATTTAGTGTAAATTAAAATAATGGGACCACATTGCTCGAATAATATCTATAACATGTTTTACAAAAGGTGGAATGCGCACGCCGGGTACCTCACACACTAGCCCGTTATGATTGTAAGAGGAATTAATCGTGGTATAATCTCAATCCGATTTTTAGACAGGTCGTTCCATGTGTGCTGTGCACAAGGAGCTATAAATAATAGAACTATCATAGTGTCACAACCGAGTTTCAACCCCTATGATCAACAAGCTTGACATTCTCTCATTAGACTAGTTGAGATATTTATGTGGCATTAAACATGTTTTAATTTACAATGGAGGGAAAATAATGTATTTATTTAAAGGACCGATAAAGAAAATCCTTTGATCGAAGAAGCGAGTGGCGAATCAAAGATTTTAACTACTCCCTCCGTCCCTCAGTTTTTATCCACTTTTGACTTTTGGAACTTTTCATCTAAGCACCTTGACTCATCAAATTCTCTCAATGTGTAAGCCTAAATATAGTCATGTGTGATCTTGTTTGAGTTGTCTTAACATATAGATTATTAATATATATTTTCTATAATTTTTTAATATACAAATTACAAGATAAAATGGATTAAAGAAGTACATTGGATGATGTGCAAAAATGAAAGTGGACAAAAACTGGGGGATGGAGGGAGTAGATGGGAGCATCATTAGTCAAAGGTCTGAAAGCAAGCACATGATTTTTTACTCATAATAGAGAACATGAAATGAAAAAAATTTATTTCAAACATTTATTGATTAGAAAATGTTATTTCAAAAATAATTAATTATATGTAATAAAATACATTTTACTAAAAGAGTAAACAAACAAAATTTAAATTAACTTAACTAAATGGGGTCTTATTAATTTATGTTGAGGGTACATACACATAAAAAAATTTAAAAATTATTTTACCTTAAACATAAATTTAGTAGGGGGCATTAGCCCCCAACGAATACAAAGTACATCAGCCGTGCCACTTTACCCTAAAATTAAATAATATTCTATATAGTTTTATTATTTTTTGTTTCGTAAAATTTGTAATGTAAATTTTATATATTTATGGAGTATTTTAGTTCAATACTAATTTTCAAATTATTTAACTTGAAAATTTCTATAAAATCTCATAAAAAATAACAGACAATATAAATTGCGAACATACAATATGAATTGCGACGGTACATTTTTTTGAAAGAAAATATTTTGTATTAAAATAATTTATTTTCCGTTGAAACAATTTTAACCATACAATCCCTTTATTAAAAAAGGAGCTAAGTCAAAAAAGTAATAATAATGATGAGGACCATGAAAATATCCAAAATGGAATTGTTTTTATGTGATGCAATACAGAGTAAAAAAGAGCAAACGACAACTGGACGAGGGGCACAACTGCAATGCACAAAAGATCGTGGGAGAGATATGGTATTATCAGAACCATGAGGATCGAAACGCAAATAATACCATCACAAGGGATTCCCATCAAGTTTGAACAAATCTATCCCGCTCTCACCACGCTCCCCTCCCCTGCCCCATCTTCCCCTACCCTACCCCCTGACCCCGACCCCACCCCCACCCCACCCACCTTTCTGCAGCTCTCTATATGTATGGCGGTCATGTCAGATTTGACACTCCCCCTCCCTCACTCGCTCCTCATACTATCTGCGCCTTCGTGCCCGATCGGAGCGGCGGCGCTTCATCGGATGCCGGTGGGACTCGTCGGAGCTCATGAGCTGAGGACGGCGGAGTAAGCTCAGCTGTGATGTTTTTGTTGTTGTTGATTTGTAGATTCGGTGTGCGTATGCGTTTCTGTTGTGTGTGTATGGCGAGTCGATTCGATTTGTGCATGCATTGCGGGAATTGGGGTTTTTAATCGGCCGGCTTCGTTGAGATTCCGAGCTTCTTCTTTGAAATCCATGGCGTTCGGCTTTCGGATCTATTGGATTGGGCCGTTTTCTTGATTCCCCTGTTTGTTTAGAGTTTCCGGCATCCCTTTTTTTTTGGTTTTCCAGATTTTGGCAGTGTTTGAGATTTTTTTTTTATTTGAAATGCGTTTTTTTAGGTGGTATAAATTTTTAAAATAAATGTATTTACTAAATATAGAAATGATTTGTATTGGGTAAAATTTCTGTCCGATGTGATGTTATTTCTCTTAAATTTAGCATTTCTTGGTTCTTCTTGGATAAGGTTGTCTGCGTATGGCTTAGGGTAATATACTGTAATAGTTTAGATCTTTAGATTGACAATACTCAGCTGAATGAGTTGGCATTTTTTTCCTTTGTGCATTTCTTTGCTATTTGATCCATCACAGCTTGTTCCAGTCCTGTGCCTGCTGCCCATTCACTTCTTTCAAATAGTTCCTATTCAAAATAGGGTAGCTTCTTTGAATTTCGTGTAGAATACTTGCTGAAAGAGGAAAAAGATGATTGCTCTTGTGTATGTAGCTATAGGATCATATTGGAAACCCAAATGCAGGCAATTTTTTTTAAATCCATGAAGCATTTCCTCCAAAAACTTTGGCATAATTGGTTGAACTTATAATGTGGTTATTGTTATTGCTAGATCTGCTTTGAAGTAATATGTTTTTCTGCTTGATGATTCTCATGCAATCTTATTGTATGCACCCTACTTGCAGGTGATCTTTTGTGATTTCCACTTTCTACTTCAGTAATAATATTGGTATTAATAAATTTACTAGAATGAAGCTAAAAGGCGCATAAATTTTCTTCACTCTGCACGGAAAAGTTTGATTCTGGTTTAGCTAACTTACCCTTACTGACATTGTGTGTTTTTTGAATGAATAATTCTTGTTTTAATGTTTCTTTTGGTTCATTCCTTTAGTAGAATTGGTTCGTGCCTACATATATGCATGTCCAAAGAAATCTTTTTACCCATGCTTGTACTCTAGATGAAAACAATTATTCTTATAAGGTTGTTATTACACAATTTCAGATCTGACGAGGCATAAATACTCGATTGGTGAATTTATCGATCAATGAGGCATGCAAATATGCAAAAAGAACCTTCAAATGTTCCAGGGAGCTCAATGCGAATCACACGTTCCAGGGCTAAGACCTTTGCCTGTCCTGAAGGACTACCCCCTTTACATCCATCAGGTATACAGAATGGGAAACAAGTTCAGCGAGCAAGTTCCAAAAGACCAGCATCAGATGAGAACATTACAACAAGTGGCGCCTCTTTTCATCGTCAACCAAAGAAAAGAGCTGTTCTTGGAAATGTTACTAATGTAGTATGTGACGGTTCATATTTGAAATTTATGCCAGGGACCAAAGTCCAGGTACCTTTTCTTTTGGTGTAGTCATTGTAAATATCAACCGGAAGAGTTTTTTTCTCTAGTGAGTCATATCTCATTGTGAATAAGTTTGATGGTAACAGGATACCAAAAATTCCGAGAAGAAAATTGCAAAGGTGATGCCTGCCGTGTTAGGTAAAAAAAAGCCACATCGTTCGGAGGATAGGAAGGAAAATATAATTGAAGAGCCCAACAAAATGAAGATTGAAAATTCTGAACGCAGTTCACACACAAACCTCAAAGAGAATGCATCAGCACATCAAAATGTTTTTGCCAGCATAGAACAAAGCAGGGCGTGTGGTGTTTTGCAGTTAGTAAAGTGCAACTCCAAGATGGTTCCTCAGCTGACAACATCACAAAGTGGTAGGACATTTTTTAACATCTAAAGTATGAAATTTGTGCTCTTTTGTGATTTGAATACTAATGATTGGTATTTAGAGCATCTGGCTGCTTTCGTATCTGCTTCAACAACTGCTAAATTGTTTTAAGTTGTTGCAGATGATGGCAAACATTTTCCTAAGACAAATGACTTGGCTAGCCTGGGCATTACAGATATTGATTCAAAGCACCGGGATCCACAGATGTGCACATTGTATGCTTCTGATATATATGAAAATCTGCATGCTAAGGAGGTATGCACAAATTTCTTATTTGATCATAGTCATGCCAATAGCTTTCTTCCACTAGCATCATACTGAAATTGTAACCATAAATACTCATCAAATATTGGTGTATCTTGAACACCCCATCTTTGGTCAGGGTTTAGTTCTAACTTTTCTATTGCTTTCTTTCGTGTCACCCTCTGCCCCCTCCCTCCCTCAGCTTGACCGGAGAGCATCTGTTGATTACATGAAAACGCTGCAGCGAGACATTACTGAGGGTATGCGGGGCATTCTGATTGATTGGCTGGTGGAGGTAAGCGATATCTTTTGACATTGTGCGTTCTTACTATTTTAACATAACATTTTATATCTTTCCATTGGCATTTGCTACATAGCCCCCTCTCAATCAAATACATTTGTCTATACTCATTATGTATAGTAAACCAGTTTATTTACAGTACTAAACTACTAGTTGTTTATCATTCTTTAGAGGCTTTTTAAAGCCATGGCTATTTTGTGGGCAAATGGCCAATGCCGCTCTTGGTGTCACTATTATTGATGCAAATATGATTTTAACATGATAATAGTACTTGTATCCCTTTTTAATCGGGTACATTGACACAAACTCGTGATTACTTTCAGGTCTCTGAAGAATATCGCCTAGTTCCTGACACACTTTATTTGACAGTGAATCTTATTGACCGGTTTCTGTCAGAAACCTACATTGAGAAACGGAAATTGCAACTGCTTGGGGTTACATGCATGCTTATTGCTTCGTAAGTTCTTTCTCTTGCTTGCAACTGTTGGTACACTAAGAGACAATTTCATCCCATGCATTGTGAATAAATCCTCCTGAATTCTGGTACTACGTATAATGGAAATTTTGACACAATGAATAGGCACAGTTATGCAGAGATCTCCCTAGTAGTGGGTTTTAGGTAGAATAGCTCTCAAGAAACTCGTTAGGAATTTTGAATGGAACAAAATGTTCCTAAACTCAGTCTGTCTCTTTCTTTACTTAATTCATGTAAAAGAAATGTACCTTAATATGTCATTCTAGGCAATTGTGAACCTACAACCAGTTTCAATGCATGCTCATTCCGTATAATTGGCCAGAGAAATCAATAGAAACTTTCACCATTCTGTTAGATGTTGAATATGTTGAAGACTTGAAGTTTGAAACCTTGGTTTGTGCTAATGGGTTTTATCCCATCTCGATTCTCGTATAATATAGAATTTAGACACCGTCCTTATGTAAAAGAAGGGACCGTCTTTAAGAATTTAACATTTCTAGTTTCATAGAATAAAATATTGCATTTTTAGTTTTTTCTTCTTTAACTTTCTTTATATATGTAGATTTTAATGTCATAACACATTACACTTGGATTAGAGTACAATTGTCATAAGGCTAGCGCTCCACCATCACTCACTCCAAATCAGCAGCTACTACCTTTTCACTCATTTAACCCTCGTAGTGCTCCACGGCCACTGCAATGATTAGACCACTATTTTTATATTTCTACCAAAATTAAATTCTATATTTTATAAAAAGAATAAAAATTAAATTTCTTACATTCTTTTTATATTTTCTAATTTTTTTAAATGTCTTTTTTAATTATGACTATTTAATTTTCTCCATTTAAATACTTTTTTCTTCTGAGTTTCTTATTTTTTTTAATTTTTTTAATTTTTTCCATTCTTTTATATTATATTTGTAAAATAAAAATATATAAACTACATTAATTTTAAAAAAAGTACATGATAACATTACTTAAAAAAATAAAAAAATGTTACAAGTAATACTAATTTAAGTTTCAATTTTACCAAACATGCTCTAATAAATCTGCTTTTAGGTTCCCGTGTGTATCTCCACTACGGAATTGGGGTGCGTCTTGCGATTCGTTCATTAAAATTTAAAAATCAAATCATAGTTCGTTGAATTACAAAAACATATATTAGGTTAGTTTAAAAGTAAAAAACAAGATACTCCATAGCATAGTTTAAAATTAAAAAGCTTTTGTTCCAAAAATTCAATAACAAAACATAGTTTGTTCAGTTCGGAATTGTTTGGGCAGAAAAAATAAGTGAGACATAATATCAAAATTATATATACAATCTTGGTGTTGTTTTGTAGATCTCGTGAAAATAATTTCGACGACATATTATTTTTTAGTAATGACTTACATACAAAAAGTTATGAACAAAATACATGTTACAATAGAAATATTAAATGAAAGATAAATAAATTAAGAGCACCACTGTCGTGACTTTGGCCTCGGACACTTTCATGGGAATAATCACGAGGCCATGGGGATGGTGTGCAGTGCTCCTCACGCCTGAATGACCTTCACAGTATGTTTCAACATTGAGAACTTGCATTAATTTTGCAGTCTTTTCGGCATGTCTAACATTTCTAGGTGTTTCCGTTTATTCTTGTAGAAAATATGAAGAAATTTGTGCACCGCGTGTGGAAGAGTTTTGTTGCATTACCGACAATACCTACACAAAAGAAGAGGTATACTCCTATAAAATCTATTCTCAATATTAAACAAGGAGAACATTCAGTGCACTGCTTTCAAATGAAAAACCTTTCATTATTTACTCTTGCTTTATTATCAGAAAATGGCTAGAACATGTAAGCAAAGACCATAGTAGTCTTACTATCTTATTACTAGTTGGATTCATTTTGCACGTAACAACATTCCTAATTCCCTTTTTGTATTGTACCTTAAGATATGTGTCCCATGATTCCTGTCTAAAGGCTCGTTTACTTGGCAGGTTGTAAAGATGGAGAGTCAAGTTCTAAACCTTTTGAGCTTCCAACTTTCTGCTCCCACAACCAAGAAATTCCTAAGGTACTAAATTTAGCACACCTACTTTCATAGTTGCTCAAAGAAAAGATTCCTCTTCATTTTGCTCACAGTCTCTCACCATATCGTTTTTTATTAATTCTGTTTCGTAGGAGGTTCATTCAAGCTGCACAAGCTTCGTATGAGGTAGTACATAATAAATGAATGGCTTTTAGTGCAAATTTGTGTTATCAAAGATGTTAATATAAAACCTAAAGGTGATTTGTTCTGAAATGCAGGTTCCTTCTGTTGAATTGGAATTCATGGCAAATTATTTGGCAGAGCTGACTCTTGTTGACTACAGTTTCCTTAAGCTACTTCCATCTCTTATTGCCGCTTCTGCTGTATTTCTAGCCAGATGGATACTTGATCAATCCAAGCATCCGTGGGTATGCACACTTCTCCACCCCACTTCGTAATTCTAGGTGTAGTTTGATACGTCGTACGTCGTTATAAGATGTAATGTAATCAAGTGTAAATGTAATGTAAACTTATTGTTAAAATATATTTTATTATATTACAAGTACAAGCTATTAATGTACACCAAACTGCACCTTGATTATTTATGCTTCGTTTGGTAGGAAAGAAATTGAGAAGAAAAGAGGGAAGAGAGAGGGAGAAAGTTGGTTGTGTTTGGTTTGTGGAGAAATTGGAAAGAGAGAAAGGAAAACATGTGGGGCCTACACACCTTTTGGTTTCTCTCCTCTAATGTGAAAAAATAATGACAGAATAATTTTTTTATTTTGCTTTCTATTTTCTCCACCCCTGTTTTTGTATAATGTTGCTTTTGTCTTGTTAAAGCTAACATTCATTTCATTCTCTCTTATTCATCTTCTGCCAAACAATACAGAAATCACCTTTTCTTACTACCCATACTCTGATTCCTCATTTTTTTCTACTCTACCCCTTTTTTTGTTAACGGAACAAAACTTTGAATTCATATTGAATGCAAGCAATTAATATATGGTTTTCTCTTGCAGAACCCAACTCTAGAGCATTACACAAGATACAAGGCATTGGAGCTGAAAACTTCTGTTTTGGCTTTGCAAGACTTACAGCTGAACACCAAGGGGTGTACCCTTAATGCCATACATGAAAAGTACAAACAACCTAAGGTAACAAGATTATACCGCTGATATAAGCCTGTAGAGCCCAAATGTTATAACTAGCTTTTTACATGTAACAACAATATGTGCTGCCTCCGTCCCAAACACTTTCTTAGTTGTGCCTAAATGAGTCTCTAATTTTAATCAAGGAGAATTTGTCACATAATTTGCCAAAGTAGAGTCAATTTCATCATCTTATGACTCTTACATGAAGAGTCATTGTCTTCTTACCAGAAGATAATTCTTCGTGTAGGAAGAGAAGCATCATCATCATAATTATCATTGACACCTGAATCCCAACTATTTGGGGTTGGTTGATGGTCCTAAATTTATAGTGCCAATCAATTTCACACAACATTCATGCAAAAAAAGCCTAGCAGCCATGCTTTACAGTATTACACTGTATGCCCTTCCAGTTACATGATATGCAAGCAAACAAATAAGTTTTGAAACATATAAGTATGTTAAATGATTTATAGCAGTCGTAATTTGAAGGAAGAGCCACATGAAACTTGCTACATCATAGTCTATTAATGCCAATGATCTTTTATCTATACATATTTCAGAAAGTGGAATGATGTCTTATTAATAACTAACTATATTTCTTAACTTTTACAGTTCAAGTCTGTGGCAACCTTAACATCACCAAAAGCAGTTGAATATCTGTTCTAGCAGTAGACTACAGGTGTCTATTACATAAGGATGTCCGTGTCGCGTACAATACAAAATGTCTCATAAGAGCTCTCTCATTCATTTGTTCATCCCTCCCTCCCACCCCAATGCTCATTGCATCTGTTAAATCCATTTTGGCACAGACGTTACGCTTTCTGTAACGTGGAAATATCAGATGCGCAATCATTTTCAAAAAAAGAAGAAAAGAAAATGGTGCTATTTAGACTGTATTTAGGAACGCCTTGTAGTTAAAGCCGGAATTTAATAGCAGCAGATGCATAGCTTAGTTGCTGCCTTATATTAGGAGCTAGCTGTCTTAGCTCCTTGTGTAAAAACTGTTTCAACTCTTTATGCTATATATATTTCTTCTTCTCTTCATTGCAGTATATACTACTTGATCATTCTATGGTTTTTTTTCTTAACCCAAGAAAAGTCTTGTTTGTGTGAACTGTGAAGTCCCATATAATCAATTGTTGAGGCAGATTTAGTGCTTATTTTGTTCATAACTTTGAAAAGGATATGCAAATGATCTTTCCCTATTTACTCCGTTGTATATTTCATATTAGTACGAAAATAATCTTTCCTTATTTACTCATTTAATAAAATAGTATAATTGTGTCGTATCTTGTTTTGTAGATCTTTTGATGTTAGTTTTTTAATATGTAAAGTTTATATTTTTTTTAAATTCCATCTTAATTCTATAATGAATTGCATTAAAAATAATTTCTGTCAAACATTATGAAATGTAAACCGAAAGTTTGAAACAAGTAAGCTAAATTGGGATGGATGGAGTAATTTGTTGTATTAATATGCAATGCATTTTCAAATGATTAATGTTTGTAATTTGTCTAATTTGACAATAATTTAAAATTAGATGAATAAAATGACACAAATGTGTTGTAGAACCGTAATACCAAAAAGTTATTGAGTGTGATAGTTTTCTCGTAAGATCTTAATATGGCTCCATGTATTAAAAAATAATAATATTACGTAAAATAATGCTATCAATATAGTTAAATAATTTTAACTAATATTTCATCCTCCCCAAATTAAAAGTATTCATGATTCCGTATTTATTTGAATGTTATTTCTTCATCCCCAAATTATTGTGATGGATTAAGGATAACCTACAAATTCTTGGTCGCATCAATATTTGCAAGTTTCAATGTGATTTGGTTGAAGATGGGATTTAGCCCTTGGATATACTAAATTAATTCCACCACTCCCCCCCCACACCCCACCCAACTCAATGTCCACAATTGGCTCTCACTGAAGCAAACAATGATGTGTCCAATTTGAATAAATACATTATGTAATAAAGTCAAAATTGTATGCTTAAAATTTATACATATAAAAGATAGATACTGTAGACTACCAATATAGACACATCTTTAAAGAATAGGCCAAAAAGGAAAAAACACCAGCTTTAGATACATAGTACAGTAACATGCACTAAGAATGAATGGCAAAATCAATTTGAAAAAAAAAAAGATTCAATTTCTTGCAAGTTTGTCAGTTTTCTATCACTTTTCCTCGAACTTTTTTTTCAGCCAAATGCAAATCACTCATTCACTCTTTTCCACAATTACCCAAACACTAAAAATGAATTCATAACAATTCCATTCTTACCAAACATGATGCATTCCCTTTTAAAGCAAAATTGGCATGTACATATACACCATTATCATTCATCAATGTGGTTCCAAATGACACCACCTAAAGCCAAAAACAAGCAATAAAAAAATTATTCAAAAAAAAAGGACTAGTGAAAGAAATTAGTTTTTTTTCTTCAAGTACTTCTTTACATACCACATTAAGTCAGTTCCCATACAAACTTCTTGAGGAAGGCTTAGTAGATGCTGATGATAACAATAGTGATACAACAGAAGGGCAACTATAAGAAGTTACAACACAAAAGGGTGGCAAAAGTAGTGTGAATTTAGGAAGCCATGTAACATCATGGTTCTTTAATTTCCTAAACCAAGGTTGTCGATCCAGATCAAAGCCGTGGTGGGGTCCACTTCTTCAACAAGCCATTTTAGTTGCTAAAGGTGTTACCAGAACGGCGGTGTTCCCTGCTATGGGCAGCAGCTGGGCCTGACTCTCGAGCCGTTCCCATTCTTTCTTGCGCTTTAGGGCCAGCGAGGCCAACTTCTGCTGCTCCTCATTGTATTGGGCCTGGCAGGCCCAGAACAGCTCGTCGTCCATTTCAACAAACAGTTTCCTTATGTTCAGAGTCAGGCTCTGGACGGCCTGGTTCCAGTGGGACCGTGCGTTGTTCTCCAGGGCCGGGAATAGGATGGGCAGTATGGCGTGTCGGTTGTGTGCGATTAAAGTGACAATCTGGTCATTGTTCCATAGGAAAAGAGCCCTTTCTGCTACCTGCACAAATTGTCTGCCTAATAATAATAGCAAGAAGCACAAGATCTTTACATGTAAACTTAACTATATATAGTCTGTTATTTCAAACCCTTGGAAGCAGCAAAGTCTTTATATGGTTAATAACTAAGACTATTTTTTAGGCATTTCCTAATTCTCCCTATTTTACCTTCGTTGTACTACCGGATTCCAAAGTCCATTTGAAACACGGAAAATGCTAGCACTGTGTTTGGTTCAAGGAATTTGAAAGGGAAAAGAAAAGAAAATGAGAGAGAAAAAAATTTCTTGTTTGGTTAGAGAGGAAAAGAAAAGAGAAGTGGAAGAAAAAGAAAATTGGAGAAGAAAATGCACAAAGACGGATAATGATTTTCCTTCCATTTTGGTGAGGAAAAAGAGAAAACACCTTTCTTTTCTTTTCTTTTCTTTTTGAATTCCACAAACCATAGTGTAGGGGAAGAAAATATTTTTCATATTGAAAACTACTTGTGCAGCAGAGGGGTATAGAAAAGAAGGAGAAGCATTCTGACCACAAAAAAAGAAACGGAAAACATAATTACAACTTTGGCCTTTCATATTTACTCATCAAGGACCTCATTCCATTGCATTACAAATGCATCGACAGTTTGGAAGTCAAGGTCTGCTTGGAACTAGGAAAATGCTAGGAAAAGAAAATATGGAAAGTGTAGGGGAAATTTATATTGGTAGAAAATGTGTGGGTGAAATGGTGAATAAATATATTTATATTTTCTCAAACAGTTTTTTTTTATCTTTTTTATTACTCCCTCCATCCCAATTTATTCTTCTCATTTGGAAGAGCGTGCAAAATCTCATCTTTTAAAATGATTTTCTATACAAATTGGTATAGATGTAAAAAGTATAAATTGCACAGTTCAAAACTACATCAAAATTTCTACAAAACATGAGGTTACAAGAATATTTTATTATATCAAATGATCAATGAAAAATGCATACAAACATAAGTTATTGAGAAGTCGTAATAGTAATGGGAAAGATTAATTTGGGACGGAGGGAGTATATAAAAACAAAAATCCAAACACATGTAGACCATACAAAAAATTATATTTTCAGTGGTAAAACCAAACACACACACACACACAAGAACTTTCCATCTAGCATTTTCTGGGATCCAAGCATAGCATTAAGGACTTACTCTTGTTGAAAATCTCAATGTTAAACATGAAAAGATATAAATATGCAGTATTTGGGAAGATGATGTCATCATTGCATTCTGCTTTCAGAAAAAAAAAGGAAAAGTTGTTGCATTCTAATCCACTAACTAGATGCAGGCATCTATCCTAAAACAAAGTGTTGGAATAGACAAATATATGCAACCGTCAGGTAAATAATGAACTAAATCTAAATGGCTGATTAAACTTCTTTTGCTTCTTACTTTCAATGAAGTTTTGGGTAGTAAATGCTGCAATGCATCAAGGGTTTAACGGACGGATGGAGTACTAATTACTTATTCACATACTATATCTAGTCCAAATATATTCAGACTAGCCTAGACAACAAAGATTCAAACCAGACAACATACACATCACATTTTTTAGATGAAGAAGCAAAGAGATCATGCACTAAATTCACTAAATTGATGCCAAAACCAGGTCACCTAAACCCCATTCCCATAAGTTCCTTGCTTCCTGCATTGACTCCTAACTTTTAGCTCCAATAACATAAACCAATTCACATATTCGTATGATATTTAAAAAAGTCTAGAAAACATGTAGCGAGTAGATATGTTGGACCTGTAAAGAAGACATTGGAGTATGACATATAAGGATAATAGATTACCTGAAAATGATAACTGCTTACGCAGCACCCAATCCGCCAGAACAACGGAACCATTATCTTTTGGAATTCATCCATTGTAATAACTTCAAGAATCTCTTCCACCTCACCCAAGAACATAACCTCCTTCTGGCTATTTGTGATTGGCCAGTAGTCTAACAAACCCCGAATCACAATGCTAGCTAACTTGGGATCCTTCTCTATGAACTGAGAGACACAATACGATAACTGCTGAAAGTAGACAGCCAAAGATTTCGGTTTGTGCAAGGGGATAAGAGCCCTCCACAAAAAGATCTTATGCTCTTCCTTCAACGGTAATGCAAAACCAGTAATGACACTCCCAAAAATTTCCAACATTTCAGAAATCCCGTTGTGTTTCTCAGACTCAATCACGAATTGGTAAAACACATTGCTTATGCTCTTCCTGATAAAGGGCCGGTGGACCATGAACTTCCCGTAAATCCTATGCAAAATGGCTTTTAAGCACTCCCTTTCCCTCGGGTCTTCAGAATCAAACAAGTCAAGCAATCTCAAAATGAAGGAATGATTTATGTACTTCTTCGCAACCTTTGCTTCTAGCGAAGAAGAAGTGACAAACCTAAGCAACAGATCATACATGATTTGCAAGTGGGGCCACGCGGGGTCAAAAGTCGGCTCGTCATCGTCATTTTCATTCCCTTGCCCGTTGGCTGACCGATAGTTTGGTGGGAAGACACGAAATAAGTTAACAGCACAAGTCTTACACATTGCATGAATCGCAGGCTCAGTGAATTTCGGTGGATTAGAACAAACGAAATCCAAAAGCTCAATCAATGTGGCCCTTTTCAGTTCCTTCTCGGCCGTGTTCTTACTGGGATCAGTGAAATCGAAAACTACACAGCAGAGGCTTAACTTACTGATGAAAAGATTCATCTTTTCAGAGGTAGGAACATCCTTAAAGGAGACCAGAGGTTCGATGCCTGATATAACACTTGCAGGAAACACAGCAGAAGACATCTTCCTAGGCGTGCTACCTGCGCGGCCCAAACCCCCATTTGAGTCCGAATTGTTCCTGTGAGAATTCACTGAATCATGTTTCACTGATTTTTTCGGAAGCTTACTCAGTAGATTCTTCCACATTTCTCTTCCTCTCTGGTTCAACACCAAACAATGCAACAATACAATTTTTTTTTTTAAAAAAACTAACACCTCAAACCCTAGACCTCAAATTGAAGATCCACGGCCCTAAATCCCGTCGCGGAATGGGCAGCATGACACTGCAAACAAGAAATCCGCCACTGATGTGATCCTCCAACAACGATTTAAAGATTCGGGTCGAAAACCTGGAAACCTGTCATCAATGGGTAGACATGCTTTTACACGGAAAATGTAGAACAACCCGAATCTTCCTCCGCTCTGCCATGACAACCCAGATCTTGATTGCGTGCACGTATTTCTATGTAAAGAGATAGGGGTGAGGGGGGCCGGGCGGGAGGGGGGGTGGAGAAACGCAAGAATGATGATATGGTGGTGGTGAATCGAAAGATGAAGACTTTATTTGAAATCACGAGACTATTATTTGATTGATTCTTGAGAGAGAGAGAAGAAGAAGAGATCTATGGAACCTATGTATGGATGCACACTCATCACATCATAATATGATATCCTATGGGTGACAATGTCTCTATCATGTTTTCATTTCGTATCTTTTTCTAACTCCTAAATACGGGCGCTTTTCTTTTTTGTTTCAAAACCTCCTAAATGGTTTCATCAATTCTTTTTTAACCCTAATAATTTTATTATAAATGTAGTTCTTGACTCCATTGGAGATCAAACCTGTGATCTCTTAATTAGAAACGTCATGTTTGTGTCATTGAATCAGAAGATCTTTGATAATTAAAAAACAATCTTAATGGAACATAAAATTTAAGTGTCAAAAAATAAAAAATTGCTTTGAGAAAAATAAAAAAATTGATAAATATATATTTTATGAGAGGAAATAAGTTTTTATTTTAGAACAAAAAAGGCTCAATTATTTATTGAAAAATTTGTACTAAATAGGACTAAAGCATAAGTCATTTTCTAATATAGGACTTAAGGAAAGAAATAATGTCCAGGAGGACATTTACTTGAATAATGACTAATTAATGGTGACCAATGGTCCTATGTTGGTAAATAAAAACATATGGTCTTATATTGAGAAAGAAATTATGTTTTAGTCCTAAATAGGTAAATTATTCTTATTTATTTTAGGATAGAAACTAACACTACATGATTTAGTTCATTTTGCGATGGAATATCAGCTACGGAATTAATCCGTCACAAATTGCGACGGAAATTGCGACGGAAATAAGGGCATTTTAACATGATAAAATTGTAAATCAATGGTTACCAAAGTGACAATTTTTAACTCAATACTGACTGGTCAACAGTTAAATATGTTGATTGATGAGTTGAATTTCTCAAATGAGTTACCTAGACCATAGAGGTACAGGTAAACAAATAATGCTCCATAGAACAATCATCTATCTCTTTGGTATTTTCTAACTATAGTCTTAATATGAATGATAAATTATTCACCTAAGGACTGGGGAGGTGGCAATTTCGAGGATGACACGTGGAGGGATCCACACACCGCCAACAACAACAACAACAACCCAGTTGAATCCCACAACAGTAGGGTCTGGGGAGGGTGTGTGTACGCAGACCTTGCCCCTACTCGGAAGTATGGAGACTGTTTCCAAGAGACCCCCGGCTCCACCGATCCACACACCGCCAAATAACATTGAAAGTAAATGGGATATAATCACTTGGGTCTACCAAAATAAGAGATGTGACACTAAATTTAAAGACCACAGTCCAAAAAATATAATTTAAGGACAACGATTCAAAGAGCATAACCAAATAGGTTGATTCACGTGGCTACAATATGATCCATGTCAATAGTAACCCTCACTTCACATATAAGTTTCAATGTAATCCCTTGTCAAAAGGGATATATATTTTGATATTCAATATGATAGTCTTGTACACTTTAGTTTGTAACTCTCTCGGTGTAAATATAATAATAACAAGTAGACCATATGTATTCTCGTTCGTAGTTTTTCCATGACCACGCGTCCAAGTGTTCTTAATTTAATATGAAGTAGTTAGTTTATAGACTCAGGCACACATTAGTTTCAGATTTGTGTTCAAAATATTTTTGGTATGATAAATTATTTATATAGATTCTCGTATTCCAACATACTTATATGAAACTTATACTACCTTCGTCCCAGAGTATTTGTCCACTTTCATTTTTGCACACCATCCAATACACTTCTTTAATCCATTTTATCTTGTAATTTGTATATTAAAAAATTATAGAAATTATATATTAATAATCTATATGTTAAGACAAATCAAACAAGATCACCCATGACTATATTTAGGCTTACACATTGAGAGAATTTGATGAGTCAAAGTGCTTAGATGAACAGTTCTAAAAGTCAAAAGTGGACAAATATAGCGGGACGGAGGGAGTATTATTTTTGACTGACCAATTTTATAATTCATACAGAGTAATATTTTATGTAATTTCTTGTATTGTGTTTCATCTAATTATTTTTCTAATGCCCATGAATACTTATTGTTTATGAATTTGATAACCACTTGGGACATTTTATTTATAAAAAATTCATTAGTTAGTATTTTTGTCTTCAAATAGGCCAAATCGACCTCAACTCAAAATATGAGTCCCTTCCATTTATCTGATATCCTTAGTTTTTAGGAGATTTGACTTATGTAATACTAAAATATACGAGTAATAAATTTTTCAATGTTGTATCATATATTTTTATTTTCTAATATAGTACCACTCTATAACGTACATTGAACATTATTCAAATAAGAGGGTGTTTGAGAGTGATTAACTTGTAGATAAAGTGATTTCCACAAAAACTGAAAGCAAAAAAATCTCATACCTGCTTCTCCGAAATGGTGTTTAATATACAAAATAGTGGTGGTGAAAAGCAAAAGCTGGTATGCCAAACAGAGTAAAATCACTTCCATTGAAAGCAAAAGCTAAACTATTAAAAGCAGCGCACTGCCAAACACCCTCTAAATGTCCATCGCCATCGGACATTGTTCAAAGTAAATATCCATGGCCGCTATATATTGTTACCACCAGTGGATATTATTCAAGTGACAAGTGTTATTTAAAAATAAAAAGCTGTTAGTACTAAATAAGAAAAAGACATACATTTTAATACTATTTAATGTGAATTTCCATAGTTTTTATCTAAATTTTAAAATTTTAATAAAATCAGGTTAGAGGAATAGAAGATGTTAGGATTAAGAAAAATGCTAGGGGTGGGGGACAAAATTAAAACAAAATGGGGTAGGGGTGGGGGACAAATGGGGTACACCAAATGGTGTACCCCTAGCATTGCTCTGGGATTAAACTTTCAGCTACTCTTAATTCAATCAAAACCCGGCCTGTAAATATTAGGCCTCTTCATAGGCCCAAAATTATACTCTAAAGTCCGAACACTAAAAATAATTTTCCGATTCCAACAACTCGACCCGGCCCACAAATCACATCCCAAAAGAAACGCAAGCAGCCCTAAAAATCCCTCAGAGAGATCTGAAACCAGCAGATCTGAACTTACTCCACAGCTACCGCATCGAGAGTGGAGTTTCACTGTCGTCGTCGTCGTCTCCATCAGTCTTCTGCATAAGAAGCGCCGCCGGAGAGCCCATAACCTCGCCGCAATCGCCGGATTCACATCTGCCGTCGGCCAACCGATTCAAAACCAACCGCCGAAGCATGTTAGTACCCGACTACCGCAATCTATCTGAGAAATATTTTCTGGTGTTTTTGTGATGTTTATGGGCGTGCATGTGTATATTTTTTTTAGCCTTGCTTCCGTTTAAATGTTATTTCTGTTCTTGTATTTCGTCGTTGCTATAGCATTCATTTAGCCTTTAGAATTTTGGAAATTGAAGAAATTAGGCATGCTATTTTGTTATGTGGACATGTTATTGTATCCGTAACATATAGATCGTTCAGAGAAAGCAGATGTTCTTCTCTGGCCTATATGTCTCCCGGAAGTGATTTTTGTGATAATTTTTGACCTAATCTAAACAAACCCTAGAACTATTTTTCCGCACACCACTGAACCCTTTAAGTTTTTACCCTATATGCCTCTATGCTTTTGTGTTTTGACTTGGGACCGTTGATTGAATTCATTTTCTTTAGGGAGATCATATTCGTTAAGCATGGACAATTTGATGGATTAGATATTTTTTATTCAGGTTATAATAGGTCTAAAACATTTTGTTGAAAATCTATTCACAAATCATATAATAAAATCCATCAATTCACATTTTTCACAGGTGAACAATGAATCCATACATTTTAAAGATATTTTTAACGTGTATGGACAATTGAGCAATGCATACAATCATTGTTTGTCATGAATATACTTAGTAGCATTCAATACTGTTACAAGGAATTGATTACAACAACAATCCAGTACAATCGCATTTAAAAGTTATTGATTAATTGTGAAGAATTCAAAATATCTGATGGTATTAGAAGATCTTGATTGATGGCTTAATCAAGTGGATGGAAAACACATTAGTAAATCACTAACCATTCGCAGAATGCAAAATGATTGGCTGGATTGAATCTAAACCATTATTAATGGATGCACACTAGTTGTTTTGGCGTTGCCTAATTGGTTTGGCACGCTATGGAGTATGTCTTTCCATTTCATTTTCAGTCAAGTTAGGTGTTGATTTGGCAATTATGTGTTTAGGATCTCCCAAACTCTCACAAGTAAACTAACCTTGCGGTACCCGACCCAGATCTAACCAGATCTTTTAAGGGGAAATTACGCATATAAGACCAAAACTAATGAACTTTCCTTGACTAGTAGTCTAGTACAAGTACTAACCTGTCAAGACTTCAGAGGGAAAAAAGACAACTTTAACCTTTTATAATTATATGAAGGCAGATTTCTCTGCCTAAATTGGGGGTTACTTTTAGCTGATTAAACTTAAATTAGTACTATTAACATAAACAAAGTGCATGAGTCTTAGTTAGGGAAAATTGTCAACTTTGAGTCCTATTTGCTGCAATTTTCACATCTTTAAAGATTTAAGTCCCAACTCTCAAATGGTCCGACCCATGGTCTTAGTTTGAGTGTCCTCTGCACGTTGCGACTGTCATTAATCGCTACTAATCTTTCTTCTTTCTTTTAACAAATAGTAGAATTTCTTTGTTTATTATGGTTTAGTATTACTCCTTTTCCACAAAAGTATTTCTACTCTCTATTTTCATATGTTCCAAGATATTATTCCCTTTTATCTGATTTGCTTTTAAGAAAAGGATATGTGATCCGAAATTCTTTTATTCTAAATAAATTCTAACCACTCTCTTTCCATTTTTCAACATCTTTTCGATGCTTTTCTTGATCTCCACAAAGTCAAGTGAGAAAACTAATTTGGTACTGCGGCAACATTATTATTCATCTATGGTGTTTTAATATTCAGAATTACTTATAATATCATTAATATGTACATATGGTATTTTCAGTTTGTTCTGTTGCTTGTGGAATTTTAAATTGTTTAACATGGCCACTGGATCGTTTCAGTATGGCTTTATTACATTGGGAATTCAAAACTTCTTAATTTGTTATATATGGTTGTGTGTATAATATACACACTTGCGTGCATACACACACAGCCATATCACACTCCCATATTGTCACCTAGGAGACTGCTTTATCATTTAGGTGATGTGAAGGGTTCTTGGTGGGGAACAAGATACATGGGGAACAAAAATAACAATGTTAGTCACTGAGTAGAACTATTCCAAGATTTTGAGCCATTTTTTGTATGTGTAAGGATTCTGCAAACTTATTCCGCGGTAAATACTTTTTCAATCAAGTTTGATGGTTGAATGCTACATGTTTGATAAGTTGATAACTATGTCGGTGGGCGTGGCCTTTTATGAGTGTTCATGCAATCAAGTAATAGTTTTTAATTAACTACGTTTGAAGTGCACATACAAAGCAATCATGCATGCCGAAGTGCCAATGCAAGCATGCAACATAATATAAAGATGTAAATGGAGAGGGTTCTAGATTGTATGTAAGTAATTCTTGTGTGTTCTAGCATCTGAACCTTTTCTTCTGGTTGTTGCATCGTGTACCAGCTATGCACAGAAAGCACCTGATGTTTCATGATTGGCTTCTCTCATGCCTCCATTAAGAAGACATCAAAATGTTTCCTAAGTGGTGTTCCCTTGGGTTGGCGGCTTCCTCGTTTCTCTTCTCATGCTAGATAGCCTTCTTGTCGGTGGACTTGAAGGGTGAAGTTCATGTGTTCTTGGAACATATGTGCTCACTCCCAGAGAGAAGGCCATTTGGAATTTGATCATTGTTTTGACTGTATACGGCTATCAAGCATGTATTGAGCATTTCAATCTTTGAAGTACATGATTGTACTACTGAGCTGCTTTTTTATATTTTCAAATGTTGGATGTCCAGAACATTGGAAATAGTTGTGCACACCTCACTTGTCTGTGTTGACGCCATTTTTGCTGGTTTGCTACCCCCTCTGTACAACTGATCAATGATGAGAATATCATTTGAAGGATTACTTATTACTGTGGAATTCTAGTATCATGCTTAATGCTTACAGTGGACATAGTTCCTTTTTTTTACAACAAAAACAACCCAGTATAATCACAACTATGTTGAGGGCTGGGGGTTACCCTTGTAAACGCAGAAGGGTTGTTTCGTTAGACCCTAAATGCATTGTTGCATTTACTCCCCAAAACTTCAAAGAATTTTAGATGCAAGAGAAGTTTAATATTCCATTTTGATTTATTTCATTATGGTCCCAAAACTAAAACATTGTCAATAATGACATTTTTAGCTCCATTGGCAATTGACAAAAGTGCGGTTATGTGAAGGTCTAATACTGAATGAATCATGAGGTGAAAATGTGTGGAAAAAGTTGCAGGAGCATGATAGTAACCGTTAAGTTCACGTGGTGCTCAAAATGGTTGTTCAAAGCAGTTGCTATAATAATAAAAAAGGGAATACACTTTTCTCATAATTTTTCATTTTAAAAAGAAAAGCAGGAGAGGCCTAATAATCTTAGTTAATATCATAACCTCAAACATTATCCTTGATTAATGCAGAGTAATAAATTATGACTAATGCACAGTAATAAAATACAATTCAGAGCTATCAGCATGTGCATTCTAAACAGCTTAGTTTGAATTGTGGTGGACATTTTGTTGCCAGTGTTCCATAAATGCATGAAGTTCTGATTTTGCTATGATAAAAGGACTTGAGCCAATAATAACATTCAGTTGTTTGTGTTTGGTATCTTGACTTGACTGTTTCAAAACTGTGTTTGATTTCCTTCATGTGATGGGCTGACTGTTTAAAGTTAAGTTGCTAATTAAGTTAATTGCCACTGTCTTGAGGTGAACTTTAATTACTTGTGTGTTTTCCTCTGCCTGTAGATTGTGCTTCTACTATCACATGCAGCAATGCAACAAGTTAGGTTATAGGGTGATTTGTGTAAAAAGTTTGCAAGAGTCATGAGTCAACATTCATGAGAATGTAATGCTGATAATTGAGGACCAGAACATAGGCATTGTGACATTCATCTCAGTCCTTAGACATTTCATATGTATGCTAACTATGTTTTTAATAATTAAGAATGGAAAAGAATTGATGTAAACAAGCTGAGAAATAACATACTTTTCAGTATTCACGAATAATGAGTGCATCATTTATTCTTTACTTTGAACTCTTTTATGTTGTTGCAAGTCCCACAACCCTGCTGCATGCTTATCCAAATTTCGATGTATTTTCAAAGCTTTAAATTTGGATTCGTATTTTGGTTAGATTGCTAATTTACAAACTGTCGCTAGCTTGATTGTTTCATTATGGTGTTCAATAAGTTTTTGATAGACTAATCCCTTTTTATGTGCTTATTTTTTGGGTGCAGAGATCCCTGTTGTACTTGTTGATCTAGATCTAGAGAAACTGGTGTCAATGTTCTACAAATGAGCCTAAGTGAATTGTGTTCTTTCTGTGTTCATATGGTCTGATATATCTAGTAATCGTGTTTGTAAGCATTTCCCAATATCAGAAGGGCAGCTGAGGCATATGGATCACGTTTCTCATAAACCAGATGTGTCTTTGTCGGATATACAAATGGTTGGAACTATTTCAAATAATACAATGCATGATTTTCCTGTATCAAATATACCCATGAATGCTGTTGAGTCTGTCCCAAGTAATGGTAATAGGTTTGATGACTCTTTCGGCCATGCATTTATCAGTTCTTCCCCTAAGCAGTACATGGTGTCAAACCAGCAGGGTGCTATGGGAAATGTCTCCACTGGTGTTGTTGGCATACAGAAACTCTCTGTACCAAGCAAGCGCAAGGCTGAGGGGGAACCGGTGGTTCACAGCTCTTCTCCTCGGCAATCATCATCGCTAGCAAACAAACGTGTTGGGTCCCAGCGTCCACAGGTGCTACCAAAACCCAGCTCGACATCATCGCAGGGTCCTCTGGCACCTAATAAGAAAGCTGTGCGGAATGGCCCACAGCGTCCACAGGGACCAAAAGGGCGGGCAATTCAAGTCGATGCCGTGTCGAAAAATCAGACGGACTCCTCCAAAGCCGTGAGGTCAAAAATGAGGGAATCACTTGCTGGTGCACTTGCTTTGGTATGCCAGAGAAAAGATGAACCCTCCAATCCAGCTAAGGGTGAGAGTGAAGACAGAAGTGGGCAGCAGTCTTCAGTAGAACTGACAACTGGATTTCCCGAGTTGGCAGTGGAGGATATACCGTTTAGTGATAACTTCTTTGTTAAAGACGATCTCTTGCAGGGAAACGGTCTCACTTGGGTCATGGATCTTGATATGGAAATGGGCAAGGAAATAAATGAAGCTGCTAATGATAAAGTACAAGAGAGAAAATCTCCAGAGGACCTGGCTTTAGTTATCGAGGAAGAACTGTTTAAGTTATTCGGAGGTGTGAATAAGAAATACAAGGAAAAAGGTAGGTCTCTTCTGTTCAATCTTAAAGATCCTAACAATCCAGAACTTAGAGAGAGGGTTATGTCTGGTGAGATTCTCCCAGAAAGGTTGTGTTCAATGACTGCCGAGGAACTTGCTTCAAAAGAACTTTCTGAATGGAGGACTGCAAAAGCTGAAGAGCTTGCTCAAATGGTTGTTTTGCCTGAGAATGATGGTGACATGAGACGGTTGGTTAAAAAAACACACAAAGGTGAATACGAAGTGGAGTATGAAACTGACGATAAAGCTGTTAGTATCGCTGCAGAGATCTCTGCTGGTGCAACGACATCAATCACTACACAATTTCAACGAAAGCCCAAAGTTGCAAAGACAAAGTTAGCTTCAGAGGATGGAGAGAGTCAAAGTTCTGCAGACAGAATTAGTGAAAAGAAACAGGATTTATCAGACAGTCTGGTTATCCAGACTGATGAGACTGATTTAATGCAAGGAATGATGGTGGATGAGTTCAAGGAAGCAGATTTTCTTTCTCCCATTGTTACCCTTGATGAATTTATGGAGTCCCTTGATTCAGAACCTCCATTTGAGAACTTGCCTGCTGTAGATGATGCCACAAAAAAACTTCCAGTTACTGAATCAACTTCGGAAGGACCTTCTAATGATGCTCTTTTGGAAGACGAGGATGGTAAAGAGATCGAAAATCAGGCCGAGGCAGTCAAAAAACAAATTGATCCACAGCCAGATGTTAAATCTATTTCAAGTTTAACTGCAAAAAAAGAATTGCCAACTGGGAATGCAACTTCAGTTAATTCTATTTGGGAAGGGGCACTTCAACTGAGTATTTCAACTGCAGTTGCGGTTATGTGCTGTTTTAGAAGGTTTGTTTTCATACCTCTTTGATTGAATGGACTTTAACATTTCTGGGTGTCATTATCAGCATATTCACCGTTTTATAGTACTGCCGATGTAGTATCTTGTAGGTTATGTGCCTAAGGATAAAAGTTTAACAATGCAATGGGTGTTTTTACTCTTAAATCTTGTATGGGGTGCATGGGTTATGGTTTGGATGAGTTAGTGGAGATGACCAACAAAAAGGATTCTAATCCATGGCTTTCTCATATTTCATTGAGACCAGATAAATGCCAGAAGGCCATCATTGGCTACACACATCCTTTGTACTCTTGTAGTTACCTCTCATTCGGCCTGACTTTCCCAAATGCCCCCCTCCTAAGAAACCGACGCTTCTCCTTTCCGGGTCTGGCTTTTTCACGGCGTTTCTGATTTTTTTTGTTAAAATCTTCCATTACTTTACATGAGTCGTTTGGTTATGCCCTTTAAATCAATATTATAAAGTACAGGATATAATGATAGCTTCACAGTAGTGTGTTAATTAGTGTAGTAGCTTTTTTATTTTCCCTCTAGCATTATTATGGGGCTGGTTGCTGACTTGCCGTTGTTCAATGGATGAGCATTGATTCATTGATGTTTGATATGGCTGATTTTTTTTAGCTATGTTGATGTTGACATATTTACCCCTTGCAGCGGTGAAAGAACATCCACTAAGGACTGGAAGAATCCCCTTGAAGTCAAGGGTAGAGTCCGACTTGATGCATTTGAAAAATTCATTCAGCAGCTCCCGATGTCACGGAGTCGCGCAGTCATGGTATACAGGCTCATTGAACTTGCAGTGTGGCTTTTCCTTTACAAATTTTCTAAATATCCATCTTTAGAACTCAAAATAAAATCCAAATATTGTTACGGTTTTAACTGGAACGAAAGATATGGCAGAATCGTGCACCACGATAATTTAATTGTGTATGGCTCTTCCTTTTCCTTCACAAGTCCTTAGAATTTCCCCCTAAATTGTGTTTTTTTCCCTAGCAGCATTTTGTCATACTCCCTCCGTCCAAATTTTTACCATACAATTTCACCTTTCTTGATAAGTGCGTGGATTCCATTTTGGAAACATTTTGTGGGACAGAGGGAGAGTATAATTATACAGAGTATAGTATTAGACATCGATTTACTTGAACAAGGAGTGCATTATGACTTGCGCGTGCATACATGGACTCCTGTTTTTTTTCGAAAGCCAACAATTTGGTAAAAGTGGTGTTACTTACTATTTGTACCTGTATTCATATTTTTTCCTTTTATCTGTTAGAAATTCATATGTTTTTAATAGGGATGGTTGTTTTTATGTCTGGCCTCTATGGAATCGTGGCCGTGTTGTGTTGTTATGTGTGTGCCCGTTGTTCGGGCGTTTGTTCCAAAGGGCTTGAAAATAAAGTGTAAACCAAGCTTCAAATAACATGAAAACTAAGTTTTTTTATAACTAGCTTTTTTTTGGGACCAAAAATGCCAAACACTCCTTTATACGTATTCAATTCCAAGAAAAATGTATGCACTAATATTGTAATTGGAATTCAGTTTTTATCTTATTTTAATTTATTTGAGAAGCAATGGTTCACAGATTTGATTAGAGCAATTGTAGCTTTGTTTACATAATTGCAAAATATTGATAAAAATATCCCAAAGAATAAAAAAATTTGAGGACAACATATGTTTCCCCACATAACACGCAAATAATGCAAAAGGAAAAAAAACAAATTTAATACTATTGGTATTTTGATATTTATAGAAGTGGCATCACTAACAAATAAATGACCATTTATTTTTGCAGGTGGTTCAGTTTCTACTCAAGGACGCCTCGTCGGACGATGGCCGGAGATGTCTTTCTGAGGTTCGTACTTATAATTCCCATTTGCTACTCCATGTGTGTGTATATGTATGTATCTATCTATGTATACATATATTTGTTTATGTATTTGCATATATGTATGTATATATCTATGTATGTATGTATGTATGTATGTATATATATAGAAAGAATTGTTTGTCAATATTCACTGGCTTACGTAGTGCTACTGTTGAATCCCTTTTCAGGCAGTGGATTCTTACGTTTCCGATGGGAGGGTGGGATTTGCGGAGCCGGCTCCGGGAGCGGAGCTTTACCTTTGTCCTCCGCGGGGGCGGGCACTCGAAATGCTGACCAATCACCTCTCCAAGGACTTCTCCGAACTGCATGGTTCCATTGACGATAATACCCTTGTCGGGGTTGTCGTGTGGCGAAGACATCATCATCATCATCCACCTCACAATTACCATCACCATCATCGTTTGACGTCAACCGTTTCAATAGACCCCAAACAACAACGTGCCCAACAACCGCACGAACGAGATTCCGACAATTTCTCGCCGATAGTGTCTTCGAGACCTCCGCCTGCCCCGTTGCCCGCTACGAAGGACGACGACGACGATGACGACATCCCGCCCGGGTTCGGGCCGCCCAAAGGCGGGCCTCATGACGACGATGACTTGCCGGAGTTCAATTTCTCCGGGAACACGTCCTCGGCGAGACACCCGCACCCCCACCCCCGTGCCGCGGCACCCCTATCGGATCAAATGAGACAACTTGTACACATGTATGGCAAAACCGATATTAGAAATGTTAATAACAGCAATAACATTAATAAACCACCTACTGATATTGGAATCGAACCATGGAACGACGATGACGATGATGACATCCCGGAGTGGCAGCCGGCGCCGCCACCGCCGGTGCCCGGTGCCGGGTTTCATCTCCCGCCACCCTTGCAACAACCCCACAGTTTAGGTCACCCAAGAATGCAAAACCCACATCATGTCCCAAACATGTCCCCAAGGTGGCCTCCAGTTTCTCCGGGAACCTTCGGGAACCAGCAGCAGCGTTATGGGGCGGCAGTTGGGCGGCCGCCGGGCGGGGATTATAGAAGGGATAACAGACGTTTTTGAGACACATATGATGTAAAAATTGATCCTTTTTTTTTGGTGTTGTTTAGTGGTTAGTAGAGAAGGAAGATGATGGATTTTTTCATGTGTAAGTTTAGCTTTCATGTGAAAAACAAGATGAATAAATACTCTATCGTCTGTCTCTGTTTGGTTGGCTCCGTAATGACTATAAAGAACAATTAGGGTTGTTTACATTACTTGCTTTGGTCAAATATTACACATTTTGAACACAATTTACAAGTACAATTAAATAGGGCTAAATTTCATAATTAGTCTTTTATAACAAAAAATTTTTCATATTTAGTTTTAGATTATTAAATGTTACTCATGTTCTTCTTTTATGGGTATCTTTTACTCCATCCGTTCTAAATTATAACCTTTTTCGTTCGTCTCAAAATGATATGCCTATTTCCTTATTTTGTATGATTATTTATGTAGACTTTCCAAAATACCCTCCCATGTAATTACTCCTACCCACCTTAAAAAAATAAAGTGAGTGGCAATTTTAGAAAGTCAACTTTAAATTTTTCTTCCTTAAATATGACCTAGAGTCAAAATAGGCGTTATAAAATGGGACGGAGAGAGTAACAAATAGTTTTTTTTACCTGCTGAGGTGTTGTTAATTTGAGGGTTTTAAGTGTAATATGACTTTATTCTTATGTTCAGTGACGTATTCTGATATGGGTTAGACGGAGAACACAATAATAATGAATATGAATATAGAGTAGGATTTTGACGAAAGTCCACATATTGTAGACTATGATAATAGCATAAAGTTATTGAAATTCACAAACGATGTATTTAGAGCAGCCTCTGGAAATGTGTATGACAAGAAAGATATATGATTATTATGAAATTACATTTTCAATCCTCAAATTAGCACCAATTTGTCAGAAGATAAAAAAAGATTATTTGTGAAAAGGTGCCTATAAAGAAAGGACCACTAAGATAATTTTTTCTAATAAAGGAATAAATAAGAATACCTTTTGTTATAAAGGACTGATTATTAAATTTACTCATTAAATAGTGCATAATGTTAGCTTAATCATCGATTCAGTTTAAAATCTATTTTTGAATATCATTACTGCGTATTTTATACTTTCTAATATTTAGAAAGTGCATTAGAAACTATAAAAGGTCAAATAAGCAAAGTCCAATTTCTGCATTTATAATTTACCTCGTGTACTTTTTGAAAAATATAACGTGTGTTTGAGTGTTAATAATCTGTAAATTGACTAATTGATCCGTACATATTTATGAATGGAAAAATGATACTCCCTCCGTCCTATAATGATCTTCCTAGAGCATTATTCCAACTTCACGGGAATTTATATTTATTTGTGTTTTTTCATGGCCTATATGATAAAATAAAATATTCTTGTCACCACTTGTTTTGTTGAACTTTTGGTGTAGTTTTTAAATATGTATGTTTTATTTTTTATTTCTATACCAATATTTAAATAAAATAGATTGAAAAAACTTGGGATTTTTCTTCGTTTTGTGAACCGGGAAGATTATTATAGGACGGAGAGAGTACTTCATAGAATTATGATTAATTGATCCGTACATATTTATGAAATTGTAAACGCACAAAAAAACTTACAAAGACTCGGATTTTTTGTCTCACTTTTAATACATTGCCACATAGGACAACAATTCTACGAATTGAAAAATACTAATTCATAAAATTGTCGTGTTACGTGACAAGTATGAAGGGTAGGATAAAGATTTTGAGACGAGATCCGAGCCATGTTAACGATTGTTTTTATGATATGATGTAATTATTTATGTCATTGTTTATATACTTGTAACCGGATATGCATTTACTCTCACTACAAAAAAAATTGCACTTTCTTGTTTTGGATATTTCAAAATTAGATCTATATTTATTAATTACAAGTTTGTTTTACTCCTTATAATGTAGTAGGCCATGACAGCAATAGGGACATTGTATCAACACATAACACTGACGGTATTCGGGTATTATGTGACCTTTTTTATACAAAAAAATGACATATAATTCACATTATTTATCTTTCCCTATTTTACCAATTTCATTTGAAACATTTTTTTTAATTTGGAAAATATCAAATCTAGATATTAATTTTTTGTTGGACAAAGGGAGAGGAGTGTATGAATGATATTCCCTCCATCCCTAAATGTTTACCACATTCCAAGAAACAAGACAAAATATCAAATATTTTCAATTCATTTTATTTAAATATTGGTATAGAAAAAAAAAGCAAAACTTACATATTTAAAAACTACATTAAAATTTTTTTAAAATAAAAAATGTTAATAATATTTTATTTTATCAAATAATCAATGAAAACGTTCAAATAAACAAAAGTTTTCGTCATGGTTAAAAAAAAAATGTAGCAAATATTTTGGGACGGAAGTGTAGTTAGTATATACGGAGTACAAATAATGTTAATGCGTATATGACTACTAATTTACTACGTACTCAATAGTAACTAATTTTTTTCATGTGATTGCATTGCATATTTGCATGTACACAAAATAATAAAAAAAAAAATTACAAACTCTTCTCTTATCCACAATCAATTCATTCAATTCAAGTCAAGCAGGTAAGGCCAGCTTGAGCGCCGCCCGCTGCTCGGCGGTCAACCTCGCCGGAAACTTAACCTCGAACAAGACCTTCAAGTCGCCCCTATTCCCCGGCTCCTTGGCGATGGGCATGCCTCCTCCTTCCACCACCATCTCGTGTCCGGGCCCCACCACCTCCGCCACTGGGACCGCCACCCTCCTCCCGTCCAACGCCGTCAAGTTCACCGTCGTCCCCCCGATCGCCTCTGCTAGGGTTATTCTCACGGTGGCTGTCAGGTCGTTGCCGTCTCTCTTGAAAACCGGGTGCGGCTTCTCGTCGATCACGAAAACCAGGTCTGCCGGGAGCTGGTTCGGCTGCTCGTTGCCTTTGCCTGGGAAGGTTATCTTTGTCCCTTTCTTCCACCCTGGCTTTACATCAATGGATAGTATCTCTGATTCTTCACCTAATCTCCTGCATGCATCAATGGAGTATTCATCTTCATCATATTAATCACTCCATGTGTCCCAAAAAACACTTTTTTTGATTTTGAAGGGGGGAAATATGCTTATACACACCCTCCCGAGACTCTTTTCTCGTGGGATTCTAGTGGGTTGTTGTTGTACTCTGACTTCAGGAAATTTTTAAAAAAAAGTACTGAAAATTAAAATTGCTGTTTAAAATGATTTAGAAGAAAAAGGCTAGTTGTTGATCATATATTTTTTTAGTTTATCTGGAAAGCAAAAATTGTGAAGATTATCCGAAAAAGAAAGTATGAAGATTCTACAAATCTCTAGAGGATTCTAGACCTCTCTAGAGATCTTCATGACGTTTATGAATATTCTACACTTTTTAGAATCTTCCCAATTAAGGACATACTCACACATCAAATTCGGTTCAAAAGGAAGAGATAGAACAACAACAATCCATTAAAATCCCACAAAAGTAAGACCTAAGAGGGTGAGTATATATGCAGACTTTATCCTACTTAGAAGTAGAGGGTATATTTGGTTCAAAAAGAGGAGATATGAAGCTATATTTGGTCTGTTACAAGAATGAATATAATGCAGTGCCACAGTCACACATTAACGAAATCATTATAGCATAGATTAATACTCCATATTTTGAATTGAACGGGGAACAATAATGTTAGAATGATGGTAAGTAAAATGATAGGTACGTACCCATTGGGAAGAAGGACGGTTCGAGAGATTTTCATCTTCCTAGTAGAGCCAGAGTAGAGCTCTTCAAGGCTGCAGCTCAATTTAGTCTCAACTGGACCCGGTTTCACTTTTCCATTCCCACCATCACCACTAGCAGCACTGGTGGCAGAAGTGGAAGAATTCCCTCCTCCTCCGTCGTAAGATGTGAACCTGCTTGATGATCTTCCACTTCCTCCTCCTCCGCCGGATCCAAACCCGAATGGGCTGCTTCCGAAGAACTCTGCAAAAATGTCTTCTGCATTTCGTGGATTGAACCCGTTTTGGAATCCGGATGGGCCGTTTGAAGAACCGGGTGCTGGCATGTCTTTAAGCCCCTCCTCACCATATTGATCATACACTTGCCTTCTCTGTGGATCACTCAGTACCTGCAAACCCAGAGTGAAGATGATGAATGTATATATACTAACTTCATTGAAGTCCAAGTATCTGTTCAATTGATCACATCATTTCACTTGGCATCTGAATAGAAAGGTAGGTGTGATCTTCATTTTCTATGAAACATGCCATCAAACCATAAGCTAATTTACTCTATAATTCTATAAAGTCTGTAAACTTCAACAAGTAATTTTATGAAGCTGACAATTTCTAGCAATATTTCTATATAATTGGGTGAAAACTAAATTGAATTTAGGCGTAATACATAATACTGCAATGATAACTGGAATTTCATTTGAAGGATTAAAACAGTTGAGGAATTGGGCCATTAGGGTTTGAGAAATAAACGAAGAATCGCATGCTGAATCAAAAGGAGAGAACGATCGATAACCTCATAGGCCTCGGAGATCTGCTTGAACATGGCTTCGGCTTCGAGCTTGTTGTTAGGGTTCTTGTCCGGATGCCATTTCATCGCCAGCTTCCTGTAAGCCTTCTTCAGGTCCTCATCCGTCGCCGTCCTCTCCACATTCAATAAGCTGTAACAATCCATCCCCATTCTCTCTGTATCTATCGAATGTATGTACCCATCATCCCTGGCCTCGAATTTGAACAATATTGTGAGAATCGATCTACCTACGAGCGAGCATTCATGGCGGAATGCGAAGATGAAGAAGCTTTTAAATTCAATTCATTCATTAATTGCTTCTGCAAATTGAATCGAATCGAAAAGGCCGACGTTGAAATTCTTCTGTTCCTTCCGTTTCTGGGTTTGGGAAGGAAATAGGAATGAAGCACACACAACGCAACCAATACGCGAAATGTTCTTTGCTTTTTTTTTTTTACATAAAATTACTCTTCTATCCTCAATTTTTTTCTAAGAACACTAAATTCATATTATTTGAAATATACTTCATGGCTCTCGAATTTCTAGTAATAATTTCCAATTTTAAATTCACCGAAATATATTTTTTGGTTCTTAAAATTGTGAAATTATTCTTCAAATGTACATTCCGTTCATTTAGTCATATTGAAGGATTTTATTTAATAAAATATTAATTATCAAGGTAAAATTTTGTATTTTAAGTAACAGAACTTTCAATCCTGACAGCCAAATAAACGGAACGTACCCTCAAAGTACATTACCATAAATTTTAAAAAATATGGCTGGAGTTTATTTTAGATAATATGAAACCAGGGAGTTCTTACCAGAATTTTTGAAGTATATTTCAAATAATGTAAGACTTTGGAATTCTTAACGGAAAATCGAGGGTACTCTAGATTAATTTTTTTTTTTTACTTTTTAAGCGTATAGATATCTGACAAACAAAAACACTTTGCTTTTTTTCTAAATAAAATACTCTCTATTCCAAGTCTAATGTCACATTTTTAAATCACGGCACTAATTGACTTTATTTTTATTTCAATTTATAAATAATACTCCGTAATATAATATTTTAAAAGATTTACAATCATTTTTAGAAATTACATCAAATACTTCATAAAATAAGAGATAACATGCTTACATTATTTCAACAACTAATGTTTTCAAATCAACAAGGAGGGCACAAGCCTTGACAAACATCTCTAGTTAGCATTCTGAATCCTCTGATTGTTTGGTAGTCCACTCTTATCATCATGATAAGCATCGTAAACTTCTTTCGGAGTTGGGTCGAAAGTAAACCATGAGTTATCCTGATTGAGCGCCATCTTTGCTAGCTCGTCAGCAACACTATTCTGCTCTCTCATGACATGAATAATATGCTCTCTCAGAGTCAGCCACTTGCACTTTTGAATTATGTCTCGGATTGGTGCTCTAATATTGTTATTCGGTTCTTGAATCCATTCAACCACCCTCTTTGAATCAATATGATTGCTAAAATTTTTGTGATTCTTTGACCAACTCCATTGGAGACCCTTGAGGATTGCCATAGCTTCAACTTCCTCTACGTGATTTGCATAGGTTGAAAAAAAAACTTGTCATAGCTTCAACCAATTAATGAAAATAAATTGAAAAAAACTTATTCGATCTCTAAATAGTACCAGTACAATAAATGAGACTTTAGTTTTAGGACCATTGGCGTATGAATCCACCACTATTTAAGAGAATGCAGCATTATTCACTCTCTCCCATAATAATATCCCTTAAAATACATTAGCAAGATTATTTAAAACGATATATTAATTTTTTTATACAAATATTATGTTATAATTTTTATATTTTAATGCATCGTATATTTTTAAAAGTAGATTGTTAAAGTGCGACACAAAAAATCAAAAGACAATTAAAAAGCATTGATAGAGTAATTTTTAAAATATACATTTACACTTGATATATTCGTTTAGTATAAACTTTCATTAGAAAGAAGGGAGAGAGCAATTCTTGTCTTTTGTTTCACAAGTAGTTGATTTTAAATAATTAGATAGTAACTCATTCTTTTCATAATAATGTTAATGTACAAATAAGCAGTCTCTTTTCTTGTAAAATTGTATATTTTGTTGGGTGTTGCTAAATACTCCTAACGTTTAGATAGATTCACCCCATTTAAGAGAATTTGACAAGCTTATCCTTAAATAAAATTCACATGGCCTCTTTCTTTTTTACACTTTTAGGGATAAATTCGTACATTCATAAAAAAAAATAGTGTGAATTTCTGCAAAAATAAGGATTGGTTTAGCAACAACTTTTTGTTTGTGTTAGTTTTCAAAACCATTTAATCGTGTTTCATTACTGTCAATTGCCCCTACCGGATGGAAATCAAGGAAAGATGTAAACAACTTGAATTTTTTTAATTTAGTAAAAAAACAGACGTAAATGCAAATTTAGCAAGAATATGAACCATAATATTGTACATTCCTATGTTATTAATTTTCTCCAATCTAGTATACAAGTTAACCTATTGCACTACATTCAAACCTAAAACACATTAAATTTCAAATCAAAGATTTATTCATCTCTAGCCCATTACACCAAACCCAAAAGATTTTTCTCACACTATACCTCTTTTCACTACTTTTTATACTTTATACTTTGCAAATATAAAAAAAACAAATGCAAAGAGCTACCAAAACATGCAGCAAGCTAAAGTGCAAATTCACCATTTAGGAGGTGAGAAGAGAAACCGAAAAACACAATATGCGTTTGGAGAAAGGAAAACTGCAAATATAAGTTAATGTTTTGAGTTAGGGGGTGGGTTGGAGTTGGTCTAAAATAGACCTTAGACCACTGAAAATGAGACCAAATTTTCTTTCCCATCATTTGGTTTCATATCCTGAACAAGTAGGCAAAGTGTACATTTCTTCCCTAATACTTGAAAGAAAAAAAGGAGGAAGCACTGACATACCATACAAGATCTTTTCTGACTTTCAGAAAGAAAAATTCCAATGTGCATTCTAACATCAATCATATCAAGCCATCGTTAATCTCAACGGGTTTGAGGTATGTATCAAAAAAGGGCATAAAACTACACGTAGTGTTATACGCTATACAACAATGGGGGGAAACATTGAGAGCTGTCCACAGACTAGAAAAGAAAACTTTTTACCAAATTCACACTTCACCTTCACATATAAAAGGCCTTACAAAATGGCCTCCCGAAACACCCACATCCCTTCTAAGTATTACTCTGTAATAGGGTTGGAGCATGACGAACCTGATGAGGTAGCAGCTGTGCTGGTTTCGCCAGTCACCGACTTGTTCTTTAGCTTCTGATTGGCCGCTTCGCTGGAAGGCCCAGGCTCTGACTCATCCCCAATGTCCAGACTATCGGGAAGCTTTTCAAAGAGTGGCAAACTGAGTTAGAGATGCGAATCCTTTCTTGGTTTGAAAACAATATCGTCATCAGTAGGAAACATATTGGAAATTTGGAGCATAATCCGTACTAATTAATCAAATGGTTCCATCGTCACCGATGATACCCCGGAGTAATTATCATGATAAGAAAGTACACACATAGTAAGTACAAAATACAAACACGAATCAGAGTATTAGGATATTACACATTAATCAATAAATTGTGTTGTCAGTCCCAAAAGACGGTCTTGTTTGACCAAGTTACAATTTATAAATTTTGGTTAGTTATACACTTATACCTGCTACAGAGCATATCAATAGCATACTATTTTCAGATTTGTTTGTTAGTTTAGCTAAATTAGTTAGATGAACTCACGAAACACTTCTTCTAAGAACCGGAGTGCTCGAAACATGACTCTTTTGTTTGGGATGGAAGGTGCAAACGACAAGTAATAAAAACAGTAATATACAGCATCAAGTATCTCTACTTAGATGGTTAATATATAGAGCGTAGTTCTAGCAGCTTGTTCCTGGTGACTGACTGAAATGACAGCTCTAGCAGGAGCTGTCATATTGGAAACAACCTTGTTCCTGGTTACTGACTAATATATAGAGATAGCTGATGCTGTATATAGGAAACAAGCTGCTAAAATTGTTCCTGGTGACTGAAATGAGTCAGTGTTGTTGTCCTGAAAGTGGTGTAAATTGAAAAGAGTACCTGGATGGCATGCAACACTCTCTCTCACAATCACAACCAACACAGTCAATCAAGAATCTCTTATCACACTATGTGAACCAAATAATGAGGTCTACACCCAATCTAGCGGTGCAAACAACTGACATGTAAGATAGTTTGATTAATCTTTCAAAATTAAAGACTGAGAGCAATTCTGATATAGCTCCGCCACACTGGTGAAAACACCTTACAAGTATCCCTCTCTATCACTTTTGTCAATAAACATTCAAAATGTAGTAGAATTTTGTTGATATCCTTCTTCGCTATTCAATCCTCACAAAAGATGGGATTAGTTTTATATAGCACAACACTTAATTTCAATCATCATAAAGGATATTTTCTTGGAATTTAATGTGCCCTAGTACTTGGCACTCCTTAATTAAAAAAACAGAGAAAGAGAGAAAAGCTTCTTTTATAGTTTTATGCTTGCATCATGCATTGGGATTTCATAATGTGAGTTGGTAAGATTTTTTAATGAAAACATGGGCCTCACACATTTGGAGAGGAGAGGGGGGATTTTTGGGTGGGGGGCAAAAAGTGGAATTAAAACACCAGTAAGATATATAAAGGAAAGCAAGTTCGCTTTTGAAGTTTGTATAAATTCAAATGCTTACTTCGAGTTGATTTAGCATGTCAATAGTTTCGTCCAGGTCACATTTGCTAGCTATATAGGCGTAGGAGAGTGATTCCTCTGATGTATCATGAAAGTTCATCCGAAGGCATCGCATGTCACTGTCAAATTGCATATCCATCAGCTGTGTATCTGTAAGCTCAGATTGACCTTGAGAGGATGAGCCATGTAAGTTGTATCTAGGAGAATGCTGCATTTTATGATGCTCGGCCTTTTGCGTGAATTGCTGAAAATGTTGTGCTGATGTAACTCCAGTTGGAAGCAAGCCTTCCTCAGTTCCATCATTGTTTCCTACCTCTGTAGACTTCGCACTGTATTGAGTGGGAAACTCTCTTTTGGAGAGTGGGACATAAGCTTCAGCATGTGGATTCAATGTAGACTTACTTGGGTTCATGGCTGCAGAGCACATATAGGTTGCTGTTGAAATGCTGAAAATAACAATCACAGAATAAGAATAAAGGAATGACGAGAATTGATGATTAACTGAACTGAAGCTGCACGGTACTCCATACAATATATAACAAATCATGAATTGAGTCACGGTTAACACACATAAACAGACATCACATGACTACATGAGAGCAGCGATGACATCGCTATTGACATGATTTTGCTACAAACAAGTTACCCTCACAAGTCACAAAACATTCTTAAGGGCTCAAGTCTAATTAAATTCAATATGATAGTAGCAAGTAAACAGGAACTTGGAGATCAAAACAAAGGGGATAGTTTAAAAGAACATCAGCTAATACTACTAGAAATGATAATGATAATAATAATAATAATAATAATAATAATAATAATAATAACAAGAACAACAACAACAACAATAAAATACGGATGAACATTAATACCCCGGTAATAATTAGAGTGTTCATCAGAAGGAGCACATGCCTAGGTCAAGCACAGTATCTCAATAGACATGTAAAGTATGACGTATGAGTTATCAAAACGAATGGAAAATGGGTAATATAGGAAACAAAAATGAAAAAACAGCAAAGACTGAGAATTCGTGTATTTATCTATAACTATCCAGGACATCCTTTTCAACAAAAACAGGTATCATCAATCAAGGAGATCCTTGAAGTCAATAAATAAATCAAACCGCAGGAATATCAAAAAATTCATTCACGCATAAATAAAGCAATAAAATAGACGACGCACAGATACGAAGCTCAGAAAGGAGCGCGGAAACCAAACAAAAAAAAAACAGATATATACGGAGTAAATCATTTCTGCAACAAGCTACGTAAATCGAGAATCGAAACGAAAACAAAAAAGCGATCGAAGAACAGTTTAATCGAGCACAAAGCCAGAGAATACTTCGTAAAATCACATAAACAGATGAATAATCGGATCAAGGAAACGGCAAAATTCACGAAGAAGGCGATAGATCTAACCGCGAGACGAGCTACTTCTTCTGGAACCTGAAAATGGCTTCGAGCGAGAAATGGAACGACTGTGAAAAGAAAATACGGTTATGTCTCTCTCGCCTGCCGTTTCGGTAACGTTCCTACTTCTTGTCTACTTCTTATCCAGAAAAAAAAACGGATCGGACCGGATTGTTCAATCCATTATAAAGTAAATAAGAATTGGTGTTTGATCCGGTCCAGAATGCTGTTCGGGTAAAAATTGGAATTGGACATTGCCGGTCAAAAGTCGGGACAAAAATGGTAAAGGTTATAACTTATAATGGCCAGAATAATACTCCCCCGTCTATAAACTCTCTCTTCGTTTTGATTTTACACGCAAATTAAAGAAAAGTAAAAAAATGTTTTGATTTTCATGTTTGTCTTTTGAACATTGCGAAAAGTAAAATTAAGTGTAGGTATGAATAATAATCAATAGGTAAAGGTGAGAGTATTGTTGTAGTTTGAAGAAAAAACATTTGATAAAAAAGAAAATAGGAAGATAATTTATGGACGGACAAATAAAAAAATGAGAATGAAAATTATGGCCGGAGGCCGGAGGGAGTAAAGTGAATCAAAATTAAGAGCTTATTATATTCGTCTAATTTGATTGGATCTGGCATATATTGTTAAGGTCTGATATGTTCCGAACCAGTCCGATCGAATTATAGTTATCTTTAAAAATATTTTTTATTTGACCAAATCTAATTTTAATGAAAATAAGGTTGTGTTTGGAAAACAGCTTTTCAGATAGCTTTTGGCATCTTTGACTGACTTTGGCTTATTTGACTTATCGAACCGCCAAAAACATTGTTTGGCTAACGGCTTTTTCACTTGGCTTTTTGATCCGAAATGCCAAAATCCGAAAAGCCAAGGGGAGTATCATTTGAACTTGGCTTTTAGAAAAATTATTTTTTTAATCATTTTTCTTGAAAGATATTTTATAATATATGTAAAAAAATAAAATTAAAAATTGAAAAGATTCAAAAATTTAAAAAAAAGTTTAAAATTTTAAAATTTCAGAAAAAAGATACGAGAAAATCAAAAGTAAAAATCATTAAAAAGTTATATATTAATAATTTCTTATGAATTATATGAAAATGAAATTTTATACTCCACATATTATAAATATTGTGTGTGTGTGTGTATATATATATATGTATATGTATATGTGTATATATATATATATATATATATCGAAACATCTATTTTCAAACAACTAATTTTACCAAACATTTTTAACGATCAGCCAACTCATCCTGCCGGTCAAACCAGCTAAATTAAACAGCTATTTAGAACAGCCAATACAAACAGCCAACAGCCAACATCTGACAGCCAACATCCAAACAAGGCCTAAGTCTTAAATATAAGTAGAGGGTAAAATTCACAAATGGTATAAGAGCTTTGAACATATATAATTTCACTTCGGTATACAAACGTCAAATCATCTTACAAAAATGCATGAAGTAGCAATTTTTTTTCACCGGTGGTCTAATCATCTTACCATCATGTCACTTCAGATCAAATTATAATTTTTAAAAACCAAATTTTTTTAGTTTGACTTCATTTCTTTTTTTCTCTTCTTTATTTCGCTCATTGGATCTTCAACTAGTTTTGGATCTTTTTTTCTAAACCCTTTTTTTCTATTTTTTTGAACATTTTTAATAAAAGACAATTTCATATTTAATTAAAAACAAAAAGTCTCAAGACGTAAAAATCATTTAGAACAATAAAAAACAATTCAAAATATAATAAGTTCACTCATGAATTCATACACCGTGAACAATTAAATTAATACGTTTTAATAAAATTCTTACTATGATGTCTTTAAAACACCAATCTAAAACTTACAAGGTGTTTCTGAGTAAGATGAGTTTTGAAAAAACAGATGTGCTAAATCAGAAATAGAAAGTAGTTACTCCGAGCTTTGGTGAAAATCACTTCTAGATCACAATTTATAATTCTAAAACCACAATCTATAATCTAAAGTTGATTGAAAAACACTTAAAATTGTGTGTAAATAAAGTTGAAGCTCAAAAGCTCTATTTTCAAACACATTCCCAAACACCCTCTTAGTATGATGATAAAAATTGGTTTTATTACAAGTTACAACTCATTTGGGAGCAAGATATCGATATCTATTGACTTAGCTTACAATTTTCATTTCAGGCATTATCCAAAGTTTTTTTTATTAAAAAGTACTCCGTATTAATTTAGAAAACTTTCAAATGAATTTGTAATAATTTAGTTATTTGATTAAGCATCTAAAAATGTATTTCATTAACTTTGACCTTGTAATCAAGTATATTTAAACTATGAATAAATAAACCAAATGAGTTTTAAAGGGACTAAACAATTTATAAATTTTAAAGGGATCTTAACATATATGTAAGTTGGGAGAGAAGACTTTGAAAAAATAATAAATTTATAGAAATGATTTGATTAAAATATATTTTTAAGGAACCAAAATCAAAATTTGCTAATAATATATCTAAGCGACAATTATATTATATTTTAATAATTTCATTTTTCTCCTACAATATAATTTTTTTTAAAAAAAAAAGAAAAATATGTATTTGCATAAATTCATAAACTAGAATAATTAAATTATATATGACATAATATATAATCTCATACTCTAGTCTACGAATTTATGCAAACACCTAATTTCTTTATGTATTTCGACTACTTGGCCACATCACACAATAAGAAGTTGGGTGATCTAGAGCTTGTGCAAGGTATTGATTAAGAAGAAGAATAGGGTTATAATTACGGTGTGGGAGTGGCAGGGGAAAATTAATTAGTTAATATGGATCATATGTCAGTCTTAATTATTTTTACTATTATTTTGAGAATAAAAATATGAAACTCTTATTCCGAAGATAAATGGTATGTTATACTCTTATTTGATGTGATTTCTTTTACAACACCGATTTAAGACTCAGTTTGATGAGAAAAATTAGTTCTCTTGGTACTCATTTCGGAACAAGATTTTGGTATCAATCAACTTAGATTACAATTTTCATTTCAGACGTTAACAAAAGATTTTTAGTAAAAAGTACTCTCTCCGTCCTAAATTAAATTGCTCATTTTAGACGTTAATAATTTTCAGTCGTTAACATCGATGTTTACTGAAGTTATTTTTAATTCATTTTATTTGAGAGTTGGGTGGAATTTTTTTAAAATTATATTTTAAAAAAACGACATCAAAAGTTCTATGAAACCAAATGTGACATGACTATATTATTTTATCAAATAAGTAACAAGAATAGATAAAGAAAGTGAATAAAGTTTGACCATGTGAATAGTAAACAGATAACTTAAATTGAGACGAAGGAGTATTTATTCAAAAAATTTTGAAATGAATTTGCAATAATTTAGTTATTTGATTAAGCATCTAAAAATGTAACATCCCAACCTGCGTAACTCGAACCAACGAGTTAGCAAACCGGGTTGCTACTAAATTGGAATTAAACACAACTTATTTTCAAACAATTTAAAATATTTAATTCAAAAACAATATTTATAAATCCATTGGAGTAAAAAAAAATGGTGCGGAAGCTTTAAAGTACTTTCTATATAACAACATTTTGAAAGTATATTATTCAAACATTTCAATTTGTGTTCAAATATATACGTATGAAGGTAAACAACACTTCCTATTTTTTGGATTTAGAATTATATTGTTGCTTAAAAGAAGTGATCTAGAGTCATTAATTTTTATGTAATAATTAGTTATGTATATAATTCTATGAATGAATTTTAATAATATTATATTTAAGTTAACGGTCTTATGTCAAAGAAAAATAAAAAGTTTGGTCGCTGCCTATCCTAAAAGAATGACAACTTTATGGCTCCTAAGAGCATTGGCAATGGCGAGTCTAAAGACTGCCATGCCATGCCACATAGGATTAAAATGGGTATTGCCACGCATGGGAGAAACATTCCTCCATGATATGCAAGGCATGTGCAAGGCATAATCTCTCTTTTTTGTTTTTTACTTATTTATTTTTATTTCAAAAACATAAAAAATAATACAAGAAAGAATTATTTATTTGAAAAAGTGCATCTATTTTTTTGGGGAAAAAAATTAAAAAAATTAATAATTAAAATATATAAAAAAAGTGTAAAAATGATTAAAAAACAATGACTTGCCACTGCATAACATACTACTCTACTCATTTGCCACACGATGATTGGATTGTTTTTGATTGGTTGAAATGTTCCACGTCATCGCGTGTGGCATTCTATTTACGCCTCACCATTGCACATGCTCTTACGATCTCCAATTTAACATTTTGACCATTAGTATTGATATTTATCATTATCATATCGTATCATATATGAAAAGTTCATATTTCAAAATAATGTTTTAAAAAATATCGATATTACACTTATTGAGAAACAAAAATTAGTATTTTCATATATCGAGGTCAACATTTACAAAATTCGATCAAGAAAATCAAATTGGAATGTTAAATCTAGACGAAAAGAGTATTATATATGAAAGAATTTTGACACTTCATGAAATTTTATGCAATTGAGTAAAAACTAAAATTCATATTTGTAACTAACAAAAATTTTTAAAATCAAGTTTCATAGAATATAATTATATTAAGGATGTGATAAAATTATTCTCAATCATAGAATAAATTACTTATGGTAAAAATATGCATGTTCAAGGCTTTTATTTTAAATGGAACGAATCATGGAATAGTGGAATACTACTTAAAATTGTCATTTTTAAATGGCAAGAATATGTTCAAAAATACATTTTCAATATAAAATTATTAAAAAAATGTGTGTGCATTTAAAAGTGTAGGGGTGAACGTGGTAAGGTATAATACAGTATTTGGTTCGTATGGATATTGTACCAAATATTTCGGTTCGATATGGGATTGTACATCGTACCGATCCCGAAATATTAGGTCGGTATGGTTCGGTTTCAGTTTTGGTAAATATTAGAATGAATATATTTACGTGTCTAGTTTACACTTTGAAATGTATAAAACTTATTATTTAGAAATCGAAAGTACATTCAAATAAAGAAAGATAAAATGCGATCTTATGAAAGAAATAAGAATGAATCTGGTGCTTTAGA